ATTACTCTCATATAAAGAAACTGTTAAAGCAAATGTTAAAGATAAGTTTGTTTCTGTTAATGTTTTGTTAATTTTAAACAGAATAAAGTGTCCAAACACAGAGAAAAACTCCTGCTGAAGTGACTGATCTCCACACTGTTATAAAGATGGTGTTTATTAAAGAGGAGAGTGAAGATGTGAAGATTGAAGAAACATTCACAGTCAAACAGGAAGATCTGCAGGAACAAACAGGTTGGTTTTCATTCTCAAAAACCAACTCAGTCATTTGATCTTCATTCAGATATATTTTAATAATAAGAATACCAAATTAAATCCATCTTGCAGCCCTGAGTGTGCTGCCTAGTTCCCCTAAATGCACATAAGCACTTATTTAAAGACAGGAATGAGTTTCTTTCGTCACTTGTTCTTGTGCCATTCTTTTTCTGTTTTAATAGTCTCCCATTTTCTCTACCTTCTTAAGGTTATTGCATTTCTTGTTCTCCTACTGTTTGTAAAGCGTCCATGAGCACTGGCACTATATAAAATAAATAAAAACAATAAATTAAAAAAGTTTATCTGAGCTGACGATATTTGACCTATTCTATCCTCATAAAAGAGATCTGCTATTACAGTGATAGTGTTGGCTTAGTACTTTCCATTTGCATATGTCACGTTGATCACAATTCCCCCTTTTTTAATCAACTTTTTTATGGGTTTAAAGTTGTTTCTAGTAGTTGTTACTAGTTCTCACAGATAGTAACTGAGTTAGAATGACATCATAGTTATATTAACTAATTACCAGGGCTATTCCCTATTTAAAACCTACAGTGTCTTAAAATGTCTTAAATTTCAAAATCTAAAATTTTAGGCCTTAAAAAGTCTTAAATTTACTGAAATGTTGTGTTGTAGGTCTTAAATCTTTTTTATACAAGTCTTTATTTTTCTTTGTTCATGTTTTGTCACCCAATCTGGCCAAAACCCATACAATCACCAACAATTTATCTCAATAAATGTTAAACTTTTTATTCAAAAAGGTCATTTTAACTCTATTTATTATAATAGTTTAATTATTTTGCTTACAATAACATTAGTTTAAACATGCTCCATGGATTTACTGCTGAGGACATCGACCTGGATACATTGTTGCGCATAGATTTAGTTTATTATAGTTTTAAAACTTTAAAAACATTTGCTCGTTTGTTTTTTATTTTAAAGAAAGTTTATTTTAGAAAAGAGTGTGTGGATACAAGTAGAGCTCTCTTGTTTTTACACAATATTTAAAAGTCAAAGTCACAAAGTCAATTCAGCCACATGTACAAGACATACAGAGAATCGAAATTGCGTTACTCTCAGACCCAAGGTGCTTAACATTAATATAAAATATATATATAAAAAAAAATAGTTTAAGAAAAAAAGAAAATTTAGAAAATTTACAGTATATACATTGCAACAAAGATTAAGATCTTTTGCTAAGAAATATAAAAAATATTTAAATATTATTATTATTCAATTATTATTTTAATATTAAATGCATTAAATTATACTATTTTTTGAGACGACAAATACAAATCTTTTTCATCTGGGGCATTTGAAAAATTCCTTAGTCTAAAATTTCATTCATAATGGTCTTAAATATGTCTTAAAACATCTTAAATTCAACTTGGTGAAACCTGCAGAAACCCCGATTAAAAATACGTCAGAAAACGTGGATTCCCCTAATTTAAAATATGCTGAATGAAATGGACACTAAAACAATTAATTATTATAAAACATTGTACAGTATTCTAAACTATATGTTGTGGGATGACATGAGACAAAACAAACAAACTGAAGTGGAACAATAACATTTAGCATTGCACTGACTACAACTGGTCAACAAACTAGTGTAAAAATATCTTTTGCTGCTTAAGAAATGAAGAAAATCAGCATGCTGATGATATGCAAACATTTGAGTGAGAAGTTCATCAGTATTTACCATATTCTTCATGTACCAGCAGGCGGCGCTATTGGAATCTTTTTGCTTGAGACTTTTTTTAAAAAGAATTAATTTTTAGATCTTAAAAGTGTTATGGTGCTTAGGCATGGGACGATACCCCTTTTCAAGGTATACCACCTCAACGTTTTTCAAACGTCTCATGGCTTCAAACGTCACCACGTGTTCATTGTGTGTCGGCATTATCCTCTGAGGTGAAAGTCATTTATTAAGTACAAAAAAGATTTATGTAGCGTCTTCTACCACTGTGAGTTCTGTTTTTACTATTGATATTTGGCGCCAGTTAATCAGGAAGTGACGATTTTGTTCTCTTTGATTCATTGGATGGAAACGCTGCTTTATTTGCATATCTTTTATGCGATATTCTAGTTTTGCAAATAAATTTAATTTGCATTTTGGAACACCCCATAAAGAAAAAGGGAGAAAGAGAAAAATAAATAAGTCAAATAAATAAATAAAACAGATAAAACAAATTAAGAAGTTAGGGATAAACTCTCACGTAGGATATAATAACCCCTGAGCGTTCAATGTGAGATAGAAAAGGCTGCCAAACCTCATAAAACTTTTTAGCAGAGCCTTAGATGGTGTACTTAAGGTCCTCGAGATGTGAAAACAATTCTAATATCCAATGTTTGCGGGATGGCAGGTTTGTTTGTTTTTTCACCTGAGAAGAATCAGGCGTCTGGCCAATAAAGAATAATACGCAAGGATTTCTGTGATTAGGCTGACAGGTACATTTCTTCTGGTACTGTACCAAAAATTGAGGTCAAAGTATTAGGATCCATATCTTTATTATATATAGATGAAAATTATCAAAAAATATTGGTCCAAAACATTATTGTATTCTAGGGCATCCCCAGAACATATGACTCAGATCTGCTGGCTCTAAACCACATCTAGGGCAAGATGAATCTGTTCCTGGATACATTTTTGCCAGCTTGCTCCTAGATAGGGGAAGCATATGAAGCACCTTAAACTGAAGAAGTCTATCTCACACTTCACTATCTGCACCTTCTATAACCCAGCAGCGCCCCCTGTATACAATTACAGCTGAACTACAACAACAGTAGCATTCAGCAATATGAACAAAATAATACACTTTCTCTTTTCTTTCATTAATTCTTATTTTTGGTGAACAAACACCACAAACTGGAATGAAAGCACAAAGTAGTGAGCGTATTGACACTGGATTAGACGCGTGCTGTTCCATCAGTAACCAAAGTGGGCCCTCATCATTACAGATGTTGGAAAACCAGAATAGTGTTTCTTTAGTCAGTTTGTGTAAATTGGCTGTGCAATAATAGGGTATATGCCGAAGCATGCTAATTTTAATTTGCCAGAAACCTGGGTTAAATGCTTCCGGTGAACTGTATGTCAATGCAAAAATCTGCACGTTTAAGGTCTGTTTTCTTTAGAAATCAGCAATCTCCACTGCTCAAGTGATATCCGATATAAAGTGGGTCTCAGATTGTACAAGAAGCACTGCATTACATTACGTTTTTCCCTGCCTTGTCTTTATAATATGAGCATTTATTTTACCCCAGTATATTCAATTGAGCTTCTGCGCTAGCCTGCCAATTCTGACTGGCCGGCCACCCCTGCTCTACTCGTTTTACACTGCAACCGTTCAGTCAACTTTTCTTTCTCAAGCACACCACATAATGCTGCCCTCTTCAACTCTTCTCCACTTCCTTTATACTCTCACTAATTTCCTTTTTGCCGTCCCATGGGTGAAGACCAATTAAACATTGTTGATTGTTGTTGTAAACTTCTAAGAGCCCAAAAAGCTGGGGGGTACTTTCGGTTGTCTTCAAAGCAAAATACTTTTAATAAGAAGAACCCAACATGGTTGTGGCATCATCGAAAGCAAACTCTAAACTGCACAGCAAACACTACATTTATACATTTTACAGCATGTAGGTTGGGTCAGATGCAAATGAAGTGTTAAACTGCTTTTTCAGTCCTGGTCTCATCATGTTCTGGAGACAGAAACCACCAAACCAGTTGACCGAAAAGAGAAAACAAGTTACACAGCCGTGCTGTGAAACTAACACTTTGCATTACTTTTAAATATAAATTTAAATACCACACTGTCTTCACAGGAAATACCAACTATCATAAATGCATGATTATAAGCTGTCATGGCTTTGCAATTAAAACAATATTTTTATAATAGAGGCCAATGGGGAAAAAACAGACATGAATAAAACAAAAAGAGAGTAAATTTGCCCAGTGTATTGAGTCAAAATAAGATGTTCCCAAATATCAGTTCATTTGCTGAAACAGAGAAGGTTTTGGCCAAACTAAGCCTCAAAATCACCCCAGAATTGATGATAAAGACCCAACAGCACACAATGTGAACGCTGCACATTCTAGCCTTTATGCAGATGCTGTACAGGTATGTCTCATGTATGTGAGGAGGCAAATATTCAGCTGTTTGTTCAGCTTTTACCTCAGAACTTTTTTTTTCTGATGCATTTACCAGTCAGGTACAGAATGAACAAGTATTTCCTGTCTGCTTTACAAATTTTAGAAAAAAAAATTCTTATTATGAATATATACAAATAAATATAGGCCATTTACATCTTTTAAATCTGTGTCTTATCAATATGACCAAAATGACTTTTATAATCAATTATGTAAGGAACTCTAAAAACTGGACTGACACGGTTTCAATTTACTATAACTTCTATGTTAAGTGTCTTTGACACAATATACTTTGTAAAAGCACTAGATAAATAAAGATTAATTGAATCTGCTAAATCTGTACAGGTTGATAGACCAAACATAAAATGATCTGATTTATTTTACATTTAATGTGCATCAAAATTACAGTGTGTAGCCAATGTTTCCAGTGTCTTTTCACTTTTCAGCTTTTGATGAGTTTTTAAGACTTAATGTTTGTTTTTTCAGACCTAATTAAAGAGAATGAGGGGAGTAAAGAGGAGGAACATCATGTCAAAATTGAGGAAAAAACTAATTTACAGACTGATGTTATTTTGAAAAGTAGAGACAAGAATCATTTCACCTGCACCTGCCCTCAGTGTGGAAAGAGTTTGGCAAGCAAAAGCAAACTTAAGATTCACATGATGATCCACACTGGAGAGAAACCATTTACATGCACTCAGTGTGGGAAGAGTTTCAACCAATCATCATCCTTTAATCAACACACGAGGATCCACACTGGAGAGAAACCATTCAAATGCACTCAGTGTGGGAAGAGTTTTAACTGCTCATCACACCTCAATGACCACATGATGATCCACACTGGAGAGAAACCATTCGCATGCACTCAGTGTGGAAAGAGTTTTCGGCAATCATCATCCCTTAATCAACACACTAGGATCCACACTGGAGAGAGACCGTTCACATGCACTCAGTGTGGGAGGAGTTTTAAATGCTCATCACACCTTAATCACCACACGATGATCCACACTGGAGAGAAACCATTCAAATGTACTCAGTGTGGGAAGAGTTTCCGCCAATCATCATCCTTTAATAAACACATGAGGATCCACACTGGAGAGAAACCATTCACATGCACTCAGTGTGGGAAGAGTTTTATCTGCTCATCACAACTTAACGAACACATGAGGATCCACACTGGAAAGACACCATTCACATGCACTCAGTGTGGGAAGAGTTTCAGTCAGTCATCATACCTTAATAGACACACAAGAATCCACACTGGAGAGAAGCCATTCACATGCACACTGTGTGGGAAGAGTTTTAACCGCTCATCGCACCTTAATAAACACATGAGGATCCACACTGGAGAGAAACCATTCACATGCACTCAGTGTGGGAAGAGTTTCTGCCAAACATCATCCATTAATAAACACATAAGGATCCACACTGGGGAGTAACCATTCACGTGCACTCAGTGTGGGAAGAGTTGCAGCGAATCAACATCCCTTAATTTACACATGATGCACCACACTGGAGAGAAACCATTCACTTGCACTTCAGCCGTGGTCACACTGGACTTTTCTCTCCATAGACTTCCATCAAGTGTGCTGCAAGCCTGCGTTTGAGTGAAGGTCTCGGCCGTTAGATTGCCCCTGGGGGCTGGCTGCAGTACAAGTCATAAAGCCCGCCTCCTCCATGTTAATGAAGGAGACTTGAGCCCAAATAAAAAAAATAATTACACTTGCAATAAAATGTCTCGAAAGATGGTTCTGGTCGATTAAGGCACTGGTTATTGTGCTGAAATAGGTGCAGATCTTCATTTTTGTAAACAGTTTGTTTTTAGCAGTAATTTAATGCTGGGCGTGTCATCGTGATTGACAGATGTGATTGACAGCTTCTCAAAGCAGACCGTCTGAGCTTCGGCAGTAGACTGAAGTGTTATTTTTCGATTTCTGTGTTTTTTTTTACCATGACAAAATGAGTTCAGCAGTAAACTATAGTTTCTGACATACATGATCCTGGTGGAACACTGTTTATTCGCTAAGGTCAGGGCTTTTTTTCGGGCTTTATTAGTTTGCTTATACACGCCTAGCCACCCAGATAGCAAAATACACTCAGGCAAGTTCCGGCTAGATTCTCGCCTGCCGGAGACTTACCCCTCAGACTGACTACCTCTGCTGGACCTACTCCGGATGCCTGGACTCACTGCCCGATTCCAGCCCGAGTCAATCGAGTCAGATGCGGCGGCCGAGCGAGCCGGCGCTACCGCATGCGAGCCGGAATCAGCCCGCGACGCCGCGAGTAGGTTATGCGCTGCGGCCCGGAGTTGGCGCGATTGAATCTTCATTATATAAAACCCTCACCTTTGTTAACGTTATTACATCCATTCATTTTGATATGACAGCAAACGCAGGCTACTTTGTAAACGCAAAGTGTATCACTGAGTTTAACCTTTGAATAAAGATGCAAACAGCATACATAGCAATTATTTAAATAAAGGACAAAATAAAAACCTGTATTGATTGCACAAGTATTAAATAATAATACAATTGAATACATTTTGTAGTGCACAAGAATTAAGAAATATAAAAATTACAATAAAACTGCACAAAACAATAAACTAATTTAAGTACAGGGAAAATACAGGAGATCGTTAGCAGTAATTCTTTATGTGTCTAAAATAATAATTTCCACCTTGATCTCCTGTAAGGTTATTTGAACTTGCTTTACAGGATGTCTCTGCATTTTAAGTTTCGGCATGTTATTAAGTAGCTAATCTACTGAATTTGCTGTTATAAAACATTATAAGGTTCTTGAAACCGAATCTTATATAGCCTAATAGAGCTGTAAATGTTATTAATTAATTACATTATTTACTGTTGGCATTTTATTTAAAAACTCCAACTAACATTAAAATAAATGTAAATTCCTCGTTGCCAGATATAATGAAGGCATCGAATAAACCAAATGAAAACGGAGGCAAAAAATAAAAATAAACAATTCAAGCGAAAATCAATAAACAATATACTAGCGATGTTGCAGCACATTGTATTAATAGTGCAAATTTTTTTTGCACAAACTGACAAATTGCAGGGTTGGGATGTGTAAATATCCTGTTGATATTTAGAAATCTTGCTGTATTTATCTTCTAAACACACGATTGTTCCCGCATGGTAAATGGTTATGGTGTGTAGGCTATATTTTGGGTTCTGTTGATGGCTAATTAAAAATAAAAACCTTTCTAAAAATGTACTTGTTGTTTATATGTTATTGTTCAAATTTTAGAGAATATACATATTTTAGAGAATATATTATTTGTGCTGATATTCAGGCTTGAGTGTATAAAAGATCGTTTATTTCTGCAGTCCAGCATGTATTGCTTTTATTAAAGTATAACAGCTTAAATCACACCATTTTTAAACCATATATTATTCTGTGTTTTTAAATGTAAGTGCTTTTGTTTACATCAGCGAGCCTTTGTTATACACGTCAGCCCCTTTAATTCTAACATCTGTATATGGTCGGCCAAACATACGCATGATCGTTCGGTCGTGTGTTCTATTGTTCCAGCTCATCAAACGTCGGCTCTGCATCGGTTAACGACCAGAGGCCGACGAAGCACTTCATAAACACTTTATCTCTCGTTCCACTGAAGGAATCCGGCAACATGTTTGGTTTACAAGTAAGTTTTTGCGTGCATAATAAATTAGACAAACGCAACATGCATCCTGTCTATTGCGTCGGTCGGTCCAGCTTTAAAAAGCCTACATTAATGCATTAAAACTGACCAAAAATGCCTACAATACATGATTTCAAGTCATTGTAATTTTTAAGTATTTTTTTTCATTGTTATGCTTTTTTAATAATGAAAACAGGGTTTTTTCCCGGTGTAAACTGCTGTTTGCTTTTTTATAGTGGCTTTAAAAAAAAAAATTCCCAGTGCGAGTTAAAATCAAAGTCTGTTCTGCATTTAGGCTGTTTAATTAAAATAAACACCTTTTAAAGAGTGACATCTTATATATATATATATATATATATATATATATATATATATATATATATATATATATATACACACACACACACACACACTTATTTCAGCGTAAGATAAAATCTCTGGTCTGCATTTAGGCTATTTAAACATTAAAAAAAACACTAAGAATGTACTACATACGATTATGTGACAAGTTTATAGCTACTATTCAATAAACCTATGTTGCTTCTTACAGCGGCCAATTTTGAGAGGATAAAGCAAAGTAAACATACAAAAAAGTTGCTTAATATTTACAGACTTTATCTAGGCTGACCTCACTTTTGTATGTGCGTATTACAAACAGATCGCAGCTTTGCCAACGACGTTTGGCCCGAGGAAAACGTCCTCTCTTGCATAGCTGAAGTTCAGAGGAGCTGTTCTTCAGTGGATTGGCCAACACACCCTCCAGCCAGCCTAATATGCTGTTTCACAATCTGAAAGTGTTATGGCTTTTTTTTTTAAAACACATAAAGATGCATTGATACAATATTTTGAAAAGTGCATGATTAAACCATATTGTATTACATTTTATATTAATTAATTCCATGGCATAATAAAACACTTGCTATTTTTCATTCCATAATTATTCATCATTGCCATATAACTTTTAAATCCTGTCAATTACAAGTGTCAATTCAGATTTTGAAGCACAAAATTAATGTAACAGTTAAAAAAATACACCAATCTGCAGATTTATAATAATTTATTTAAATGTATGAATAGGTATAAAGTGGTTCTTTTGTGTGTAAATAGTCATAAAGCACATATCCCTATGGATAAAATGAAAGAAAACATGAATGTAAATATCACTCAAGTAAAACAAAATAATTTTATTATTGCAAAGCGTTCTAAATTTGTGTAAAAACTGCAAACAGAAATAACAGTAGCACAATCAGACATATGCGAAGATCTCCAAACAGAAGTGGCAAGAGCAGGACTGAAACAGCTCCACTGATGAGATTACTGGAAAAGAAAACAAAAATACACAGGTAAGCTTTACATTATGTAGTATCCTGGAGTAACCACAAGAGGTCGTTATTGGTTTATACATGTGTGTTATTGCCTGTAACCCAGTTGAAAGACGAGAGCCGATGCAGGAAGGCATACGGTGGAAATGTCTGTTGTTACAACTGAAGTAAACAGAAGTAAATGTACGTTTCAACCCTATACTTGCAGTAGAGTTATCTTTATTGAAGATACAACATTTTTGGCGACGAGGATAAAGCGGAAGCACGTGATGACAGCAAATTAATGAGGTAGAAATGACGGAGCACTGTGCTAATAACTGCCTGTGAGGGAATTAGAAGAAAAAAAAAAAAAAAAAAGATCGTGTGAAAAGCAACCATGGCTACAGGAACTATTGGCTCACTAGGAATGTTTGATGCTAAAATTCAAACATGGGAAGAATATTCCGAAGTGCTGGAGCAATTTTTCGTGGCTAATGGAATCGAAGATGAGGGTAAGCAAAGAGCTATTCTCATAAGTGTTGTGGGACCACAAACTTACAGTGTGATGCGAAATCTTCTAAGCCCTGTGAAACCAAGTGAAAGAACTTATGAGCAGCTGGTAACGATGCTAAAAAACCATTTCAATCCCCAGCCAAGCGAGATTGTTCAGAGATTTAAATTTGACTCCAGAACAAAGAAGCCGACAGAGACCGTAACAGAGTATGTTGCAGAGTTGCGTTGTTTAGCTCAAGACTGTAATTATGGAACAACTTTGGATCAAATGCTGAGGGATCGTCTTGTGTGTGGCATTGATGATGATCGGATTCAGAGACGTTTGCTTTCAGAAACAAATCTGACATTTGAAACTGCTTTTAAATTAGCAGTAGCCACGGAAACTGCAAGCAAAAATGTGCTTGACCTACAAAATAAATCCTGTGTACAGACATGTAACAACGTCAAGTTCAAAGTGAAGAAATCTGATCAAGAAAAAAAAGGAGAGTCAGGTGAACAAATAGATACCAGAGACTGCTACAGGTGTGGAGGGAAAAACCACAAAGCCAGTGAATGCAGATTTAAAAAGGAAAAATGTTATCAATGTGGAAAATTGGGTCATATTTCAAGGTCGTGTCGCAACAAAAATAAACAGAGGGGACACACTGGCACTGGAAGTAGAGCAAAAGGAGTGTGGCCACATAGAGCATTTAAAGTAAGTGAAAATAATGAGAGTGATGAGTCAGAAGAAACCTTCACTTTGGCATGTATAAAAGCGGATGCTATGAAGAAAGTGAAGCCCCTCACTGTTAAGTTGCATATTGATGACAAACTCGTGAATTTTGAGATCGATACAGGATGTAGTGTCAGTTTAATGAACGAAGGTATGTTCAATGACATTTGGAAAGACACAAACGCTCCCAAATTAA